AAATATCATTACTTTCAAGTAACGGTAACGCGTTATTTTTTAAGATCAGTAACGAGTAACGGTAACGAGTTACTTTTTATCGAAAATAATGGTAACGGTAACGAGTTACTCTTAAAAAGTAACTTTTCCAACCCTGAACAAAACTAAAGGGGCTGTTGATACTTTAGATAAAATGTGTGGAAATTATATCTCAGGAAGGAAAACAAATCGTTGGCCTATAGTTGTTTTCTCAAATATTTTTGATATTTCGAGTGTTAATTCATTTGTTTTATTTACTGCCATCAACCACCAATGGAAGCCGAAATGCAATGACCAGAAAAGAATATTTATAAAATATCTTGGAAAATCATTGATCTGCACGTTGAAAGACGATATTATATGCCAAGAGGAAAAGCTGCAAAAGATGTAGTTGAGCGCATTCAAGCTGAAGCGCGTCCAACACAAACTGCTACACAGAATCTTGATACAACGCAGAGAAAAAGAGGAAGGTGCCAATTGTGTCCAAAAAATGATAATAAGTTTTTAATGAAGTGCTCCAAATGTAATAACTTTATTTGCAAAAATTATCTAACCCATATTTGTACTGCATGTTTTAGTGACATATAAGTTTATGTAACTGAAACAATTTTCTTATTATTTTAATTATTTACTTGTAGTTTTGTTTATGTATTATCAGTACATAATGTATGGAATATAAATATAATAAATTACAGAACAGAAAATATCATATTTGTTGGAAAAAGCAATTTAAAATTTTTTTCATATAAGTTCTTTTTGGACCCGAACGTCTTATGTGTATCTATAACTTAAACACACGAGCAAGGTTAAAAAGTACATACCTGATTAAGATTGGTTTAATTTTCAATTTCAACTTAGTTTCGCATATGTTATTAACATGTTGCGTGCTATACTGATGGTACGCACGTGTATCACTGGTGATATATATATAGGGTGTTCTATAATTGTAACACACCAACTTCATAGGGACGTAGAGCTAAGCGAGAGGAACGAAAAAGTCCTGTCCCATTTGGCGATATCTATTTGGCGATGGTATAGTTTTTTACTAATAACCGTGTAAAGTTTGGCGTTTGTCATGCCCATCGCGACCTATAGACAGCTATGTGAAGTTGGCTCCCCGACCGAGAATATAATTTTGACCGTTGCCATTCATTTGGTGGTCGTTTGGTAGTGTTTGGTAGTCTATTCCCAACGTTTAGTAGTCAAAACTGCAATAGTTCTGGCACAAAATTATAATGTGAAGTTGCCCCCCTCCTCCTCCGGCTGGAAAATCGGTTTTCATGATGTCCTGAATAATTTTGACCATTATCAATCCTTTGGTGGTCGTTTGGTAGTGTTTGGTAGTCCATTCCCAACGTTTGGTAGTCAAAACTGCAATAGTTCTCGCACATAACTATAATGTGGAGTTGATCCCCCCGGTTCGAAAATCGGTTTCCACAGTGTTTTAGATAACTTTGACCATTACCTATCATTTGCTAGTCGTTTAATAGCATATGGTAGTCTATTCCCAACGTTTGGTAGTCAAAACTGCAATATTTCTCGCACAAAATTATAATGAGAAGTTGGTCCTCCCGGCTGGAAAATCAGTTTCCACGACATCTTGACCATTACTATTATACCATAATTTTGACCATTACTAATCGTTTGATAGTCATTTAACTGTTTTATAAGTAAAAATAATTTCATTGTCATCAACTTCTGTAATTCTCATTAAAACCTCTATTTTCCTTACGACTACAATTTCAATTATAGTTCGTGATGAAATAAACATAAAATAGCTACCATTGAATCATAATTACTAAACTATAGAGGTTTGTTAAATCGATGAAAACTCAAAAACAATCTATTATCTGTTTAACACTGATAGAATCGAGACAAATAAAAACCTTGAAGCATACATCGATGGCGCATAAATTTTTCGGATACCGATCCTGGGATTTTTGAGCTCGCTAAAACCGAATCCGACATCGGATTTTGCAAATTCAAGATGGCCGATTCAAGATAGCGGCCGATATTTAAGAATAACAAAAATTGGATCTCGTTTAAGGAGTTTTTGAAGTTATTTCTGAAATCGAATCCGACATTGGATTTTACAAATTCAAGATGACCGATCCAAAATGGCGCCCGATATTGAGGAGTTACTAACAATCGGAGTGTGACCTCGTACGTAACGTAAAATCTCACTCTTTACATTATGGGGGGGGTAAAAGTATGTGTTTCCAGCCCAAAAAAATTAATTGACCTTGATATGACTGACACATAACCTTAAGAACAAGGTCAAGGTTGAGAACGTCATATCCGAACGTAAAATTTTTCAGTCTTGACACTTTTAGGTCAAAAGTATGGATTTTCAGTCCAAAAAAGTCCGGTTTGACCTTAATAATAATCTTAACTCATGACCTTGAGAATAAGGGCAAGGTCACGGCTGAATGTCCCTCGTTGACCTCTATATTCTTATTCTGATGCGTAACATTGCTCCCTAGCAGGTGTATTTTCGAAGATATTTTTCGAAGGCGTTTTCAGCCTAAAATAAGCTTAAACCTTTATGTGACCTTCAGAGGTCAAATTTGGCAGTATTCAAGGTCATATCCGAACGTAGAATTTTCCGCTCTTTTCATTTCTGGGGTCAAAAATATAGGGCCCCATTTAAAAAAAATTGACCTTGAAATGACCCTCAAGGTCATTGTCAAGGTCAAATCCAAGATCACCATCAGATAGCCAGGAAAAAATCATAAAAACTGAGTACTTCGCATTTTTTCTAGGCCTCATATTTTTCGAATTATTCTGCTCTTCCACTTTTATAACATCCTGTATAATTATGTCACGTAAAGATTTTTCTGATTTATCTTATCGTCAAAAACGAAGGATTGTAATAGACGAAAGTAATATATAAAATGTATGTAGCTCCCAAATTACTAAACGAGGCTGCACATAGATAACAGATAGTATAACAATTAATAACTATAATTCAGAAAATGACAGCATAAATATTAATAATTGTAATTTGGACAGAAGTTCTATTTGTAATGAAAGTGAATCAGATGTTACTGACAATGATTTCCACAATTTATCATCAGAAAACATATTAAATAGTGAAAATTCTTTGCATAATAATTTAAGATTTTGGGTAACTCAACACAATATTAGTCAAAGTGCCGTGAATGATTTATTACAAATTTTATTACAAAATAAGTTAAATGTTCCAGTTGATTGTAGAACATTAATGAAAACACCACGTAATACTTTTTCGCAAACAATAAAAATGGATGACGGAAAATATATTCATTTTGGATTTGCGGAAAGTTTAAGACATTCGATTAAAATACACTTTCAAACATTCCTGTATCCAGCAGAATTGAAAGTAAATATTAATATCGATGGCTTACCTATTTCAAATAGTTCAAATAGTCAATTTTGGCCAATCTTAGGTGCCATAGTTGCAGATTTCTATACTGAACCATTCGTTATAGGCATTTATCATAGTAATACGAAACCAAAAGGTGTCAATATTTTTCTGAAACAATTCGTAGAAGAAGCAAAATCCATTCTTGATACCGGTTTGAATATTAATGAAATGATTATTCGTGTTAAATTAAATGCTATAATATGTGATGCTCCAGCAAAATCATTTATTTGCGGTATTAAAGGTCACACAGGTTATTTTAATTGCACAAAGTGTATTCAAGAAGGAAAATTTATTCACAATAAAGTCGTCTTTTTAGAATAAAACTCAACTTTGAGGACGGATTATTCATTTCGCAGTACAACATCACAGACAACATCAAGAATATCACGTTGAAAAATATTTAACTCACCAAACAATTATAGAAACTTTAAATATTGAAATGATTTCTGATGTACTATTAGATTGTATGCATCTTATTTTTCTTGGTGTTAATAAAACAATGCTTCGATTTTGGATGAAAGGTACAATTAATATACGATTGACTGCTGTTTTATTAGATAAAGCCCAACAATATAATAGCAAATTAAAAGTGTTTCTACCTGTAGAATTTACACGTCGTCCAAGGGATTTGCTGGATCTGGATCGGTGGAAAGCGACTGAACATAAACTTTTTGTATTGTATACGGGAATAATTATAATGAAAATTGTGTTATCTAAAAAACTATATATACATTTTACTTGTCTGTGCGTTGCTGTAAGAATTATATCAGATAACCAATATAAGTATCTACTTGATTACGCACAAATTGAATATTTTGAATATTTTGTTCGAAAATTCCGCGAATATTACGGAGATCAATACGTATCACATAATGTGCATAATTTATTACACATATGTAAAGATGTTAAACGGTTTGGAACAATCGATTCTTATTCTGGTTTTAAATTTGAAAACTATCTGTATACAATAAAGAAGTTGTTAAAAGTTAGTGGCAAACCTCTGGAACAAATTGTTAACAGAATTATAAAAAAGAAAAACGTTGAGAAAAGCTTTTCAAATCCTTCAAAAAATTATCCGATAATTCATTATAATAAAAACAAGACAAAAATGAATAGAATAGAATTTGATGGATATACTTTATCGTCCAAATATCCCAATAACTGTTGTATTCTTTCAAACGGTACAATTGTTACAGTAAATGATATTTATTTAAAGAAAGATGTTCTACATTTTAAAGTAAAACTCTATAACATCTCTCTATTAAACCATTGTTTATTTCTCCGTGTGATTCAACGCTGGTAGGAATTTATATGTTATCTGATAATGAAGCAGATGTACCATATACAACTATAACAACTGACCAAATTTCACGTAAATGTTTAAAAATAGATAATGTTTTCTGATGATAATTCAAGTATAGTTATTAATTTATTGCATTAAGGTTCACATCTAAGGTCCAAAGATAGCAATTGAACGTATATATTATATTATTGTAATAAATTTATTATATTATTTATGCTCTTCCTGTGATTTATTATATTATTATATATATATGATTTTGTTAAAGATATTATATACTGTGTGTCAAAATGAACTTTCCCTATGCTGTTGTACAATTTCCGCAAGAAGGAAGGTATTCCGAACTTCCGACATCATGGCTTACAAAAGATTGTATTCAATGTAGATGGCCAACAACTAAGAATGCAACTTTCTTTCTTAAAAAAAACATTCCACCAGAAGCGGATTGGTTACTTTTTGATATCAAAGTAGAATGCTACTGTGGTAAGCATACCAAAAGTGGTTATTCTAAATATAAATTATGCAGTATTAATATAATGTTTCACATTTATAGAGACTTTAGAAAAGGCACGATAAAAAGCAGAAGATGCTAATTACGCAACTTCTTGTGAGGAAACCAGGGGACGTTGAAAAAGAGTAATACACGAAAAACAATTCGATACATATGATACTTCTGATGACAGTGCGCGTGAAGATTACGGTAATTTCATTTTATCGAATTATATTTTATTTTTATTTCACTAAGAATCAAGCTGTCTATTCAAAAATAATATGTTTTTTATTTATTTCAATCTTGTGTCAATAATATAGTGTGAAACAAACTATTTATACTTTATTAACTTTTATTATATTTTATAGATCGGTAGGACTTCCGTTTTCGGTAGGTTAGAGGAGTGACAGGTGTGAGAGTGGTGCGCAAAGCGAAAGAGAAAAGTGTGGAAGGAAAGAGTGAGTGGAGGTGCGAGTGGGTGGAAGGGTGAGGAGCGGTGAGGGGAGGGTGGAGGAGTGAGGGACAAAAAGGGCAAAGGATAGGAAGAAAGCATAAAGAAGAAGAAAAGTGTGAAAGAAAGTGGATGACAAAGCATACGGAGAGGCATAGAGTAGAAGGACAATAGAGAGGAAATTCGGATAGGAAAGAGGTCGGTTCTAAAGTAAAGCGAAAGTGAGAGGAAATAGAGAGACAGGATAGAAAAGAGGAAGGAGAAGAGAGGGATAAAAGGGGCAGAATGGAAAAGGAGGGAGGAAAAGAGAAAACGGGAAAGCAGGAGGGATTAAGGGAGTTTCTGGGAATAAGTGCATATAGGGGAAGGGCGGATAGTGTGGGGAGTGGAGCAAGTGTAAGTAGTGTAGGAAGTGCTGGGAGTGTAGGAGGGAAGAGTAGAGGACAAGAAGCCAAGAGAAAGAGATAGAGGACGCTAGAAGCGATGAGGGGGAAGAACGAAGGGGAGGGGAGGGAAAGAGAAAATAAGAAAATACAAAGAGGGGGACGAGAGGACAAGGGGAGGAGGGGAGAAAGGAGGAGGTAAGGGACATGACAGGGGAGAAAGAGAAAGGGGTAATGGAAGGAGAATTAAAGGAAATGATGTGGTAAATGATAGAAGGATGGAGGAGTGCAAAGAAAGATTTGGAGGAGATGGAGAGGAGGGAGGAAAGGTGGGAGGAAGAGAGGAAGGGAATGTTAGAGAGAATTGAGAGATTAGAAGAAGAAAGTAAGACAAGAGGGGAGAGGAAGAGGGGGGAGAGGGAGGGAGAAGTTAGCTTGGAAGAAGGGATAAGCAAGTTAAAGGAAGGCGGGGAAGGGAGGTAGGGTATAAAGGGAAGGAAGGTGTAGAGAAGAGGCTGAAGAGAGTAGAGAAAGGATTGGAAAGGGAGGAAAGAGAAAAGAGGAGAAAGAATGTAGTATTTAAAGGAGTGAGGGAGGAAAAGAGGGACATTGGAAAGGGGGTAGAGAGGATTTGTGCAGAGATAAGAGTGGAGGTAGGGATTGAAGAGGTGAGAAGAAGAAATACAAGTAAAGAAGAGAAAGGGCAAATGTTAATTATAAAGGTAAAGACAGAGGAAGAGAAAAAGAGAACCTTAGAAAATAAATGGAAACTGAAAGGAAGTATGATATGGATTGAGGATCTAACGTTCAGAGAGAGAGAAGGATGGCGTGGAAGTTAAGGAGGATAATGGAGGAGGAAAGAGAAAAAGAAAAGAGTGCGGAGGGGAGAGAGAGGATTGTGGATAGAGAACAAGTGGTGGTATTGGGACGAGGAGGAGAAAAAGATAAGGGAGAGAGGGTCGGAGGAAAGTAAGGACAAAGGGAAAAGAATAGAAGAGGCAAAAAAGGAGGAAGAGGGAAAAGGGATAAAGGGGGGAGGATAGGTGGGAAGGGAGAGAAGGGGTGGGAAGCGGGGGAGAGGGGAGGGGATTGGGAGAGAAAGGGATAAAGAAAGGAAGAAGCAAGGGGGAGAGAGGAATAGTGAAGGTGGCATTCTGGAATGTAGCAGGGTTAAAAAACAAAGACAAGGAGTTCTGGGAAGGACTGAAAGAATGGGATGTGATATTTTTGAGTGAAACTTGGGTAGATAAAATGGGGTAGGAAAGGGTGAGAGAAAGGTTGCCTAAGGGATACGCATGGGAGACGCAGTGGGCGGGAAGGAAGAATAGAAAAGGAAGAGCAATGGGAAGGATGTTAGTTGGAGTAAAAATAGATATGAAAGTGGAAAGGGAAGGGAGGAGGTTAGAGGGAGAGGGGATTATGATGGCCAAGATAAGATTAGAAGAGAAGTGGTGGAGAATAATAGGAGTGTATGTGAATAAGGATTTAGAAAATAAGATAGGGAAATTAAGAGAATGGATGGAGGAAAAGGAAGAGGGAGTAAGAATTTTGATAGGAGATTTTAACGCAAGGACAGGAAGAGAGGGGGGAGGGTTAGAGGGAGAGAATGAGAGAGGGGAAAGAGTAGGGATTAGGAAGTCGAAGGACAATAAAGTTAATGGAGAAGACAAAAGATTGTGGGAATTCTTGGAAGGGCAGGGGTGGATGATTCTAAATGGAAATCATAGGGGGGACGAGGAAGGAGAATATACGTATGTAGGGGAACAGGGGTAATCGGTAATTGACTATGTAATAGGAGATGAGGAGACGAAAGAGGGAATACAGAGATTGGAAGTAGAAGAAAAAATAGACTCGGATCATCAGCCGGTAACGGTATGGATAGAGAAGAAGAGAAAGGAAGAAGGAAGGAGACAGGGATTGGGAAGAAAAAAGGTAGGTAGGGGAAGGTGGGGCGAGGAGGGAAAAGAAGAGTTCAAGAGGGAGTTTGGGAGGAGAGAGGGAGGAAAAAGTGTGGTGGAAGAGGATTGGAAAGTGTTGAAGGAAAAAATAGGAAGGGTGTTGTAAAAAACGGGAAAAAGGAAAAAGGAGGGGGGAAAAGGATGGTGGGATGAGGAATGCAGACAGAGGAAGGAGAAGATAAGAAGGGAGCTGAGAAGAGGGAGAAAGGAAGGAGGAAATAAGGAAAAATATAGAGAGGAAAAGAAAGGGTACAGAAAATTATGTGAAGAAAAGAAAGAGAGGAAAAGAGTGGAACGGATGAAGGAGATAGAGGGAGTAAGAACGGAAAGTCAAGTGTGGAAGGTGGTAAATAGGGATAGGAAGAAGAAGATGAAGATAAACGAAGGAATAGAAATGGAGGAGTGGGATAGACACTTTAGGAGGGTATTAGGGGGGTGGAGTGGAAGGTGGTCAGAGGGAGGGGGGTGAAGAGGAGAGGGGAATAGAAAGAAAGGAGGTGAGAAGGGTAATAAAGAGGCTGAAAGATTGGAAAGCGATGGGGGGGATGGAATTTCAAATGAAGTGTGAAAGTATGGGGGAGAAGAAGTGGAAGAGTGGATATGGGAGATTTGTGATAGGAATGTGGAAAGGTGAAGAATGGCTGCAGGATTGGAAAGAGGGTGTTATTGTGCCAATATTAAAGAAGGAGGGAGGGGAGAGAATGGAGGATCACAGGAGAGTAACGTTGATGCAAACGGCGTATAAGATATACGCGACAATTCTGGCAGAAAGGCTAAAGGAGGAAATAGAAGAAAAAGGGTTGTTGCCGCCGAGTCAGACGGGCTTCAGAAAAGGGGTAGGAGCCATAGATAATATATATGTGCTGAATTATTTAGTGAACAGGCAAATAGATAAACAGGGGAAGATGGTGGTACTATTTTTGGCGGCGTTTGACTCGGTGGACAGGGGGGTGCTAATGAAAGCTAATGAAGAGAAGGGGAGTAAGCGAAGGGATAATTATAAGATGCGAAGAGTTGTTAAGAGAAACAGTCAGTAGAGTGAGGGTAGGGGAAAGGGAGGGGGAAAGGTTCTGGACGATGAGGGGAGTAAGACAGGGCTGTCCAATAAGCCCAAATTTGTTTACGCTGTTGGTAGCGGATATGGATGAAGAGTTAGAAAGAGGAGGATGGGGGGAGTGAGGTTGAGGGGTGGGGAGGTATACTCATTGGCATATGCGGATGATGTTGCGATGTCGGCAGAGGACGAGGAGGGATTAAAGGGAATGATGGCAAGTATGGAAATATATTTAGATTGGAAAGGATTGGAAGTAAACGTGGATAAGACAAAGGTGATGAGATGCAGGAAGGGAGGGGGGAGATGGGCAAAGCTGAGCTGGAGGTGGAAGGGAAAGAAAATAGAGGAGGTAAGGGAGTTTAAGTATTTAGGATACATAATAAAGAACAATGGGTCGCAAGAGGCACAAGTGAAAGAAAGGATAAAATGAGGGGCAATACTGCTGGGACAGGTGTGGGGAATAGGAAAGAGGAAATTTGGAGGGGACTGGGGAAGGAGAGTTTGGCTGTTTGATAGGCTGATATGGTCGGTGATGATTATGGGGTAGAAATTTGGGGATGGAAAGAGAGAGAAGGAATGGAAAGGGTGCATGAGAGGTATTTAAAATGGGTGTTAGAAGTGGAAAGGTGCACGCCAAGGTATATGGTTAGAGAGGAGATGCAGAAAGAGAAAATAAGTGGAAAGGCAGGATTGAGGGCATGGGGATATGAAAGGAAATTGGAGGAGGGGAGGGAAGGGGAGCTAGCAAGGAGGTGTTGAGAAGAAATGAGGGAAGGAGCGAAGAAGGGAAGGGCAAGGAAGGGATGGGAAGGAGAAAGGAAGGCGTACATACTACATGGGCTGAAAAGTCTTTGGCCTGACATATAGATGGCGCCACAAACTAAAAATCCTTATATTTCCTATAGAGTACCAACCTTAACTTAGATGCTGTAAAAATTTCATGATATTTCGTTGACTCGTGTACAAGTTATAGCTTTCGAAGTGACGTTACCTCTGAATTTATCTTTACTATGGAAAAAAGTGAATTTCGTGTTTTGATTAAACATTGCTTCCTGATGGGAAAAAACACTGTTGAAGCAAAGGCATGGCTTGATAAATGTTACGGCACATCTGCCCCACCGAATTCAACCATCAAATATTGGTTTGCTGAGTTTCGTCGTAACCGTACGAGCACAAATGATGCACCACGTTCAGGAAGGCCAAATGAGGCAGTTACTCCAGAAAACATCCAGAAAATCAGTGAAATCGTGTTGAATGACCGCAAAATGAAATTGAGTGAGCTAGCTAACATCATAGGCATCTCAAAGGAACGCGTTGGTCATATCATTCATGAATATTTACACATGAAAAAGCTTTGCGCGCGTTGGGTGCCGCGTTTTTTGACAATTGAGCAAAAAGCGGAACGTGTTCGACTTTCAAAGCAAAATCTGGCCCTGTTTAACCGCAATGAGAAGGAGTTTTTGCATCGATTTGTCACAATGGATGAAACATGGATCCATCACTACACACCGGAGTCCAATCGGCAATCAGCGGAGTGGTTATTGCCTGGTGAAAGCCGTCCGAAGCGCCCGAAGACACAATAATCAGTAAGGTTTTGGCCAGTATTTTTTGGGATGCGCATAACATAATATTCATTGATTATCTTGAACATGGTAAAACTATCAATAAAGAATATTACTGTACATTACTGGATCGATTGGACGACGAGGTCAAGGTCAAACGGCCACATTTGGCAAAGAAAAAAATTTTGTTTCACCTAGACAATGCTCCAGCTCACTCGGCTCGCGATATGACCGATAAATTAAAGAAATTGCGCTATGAATTGGTCCCGCATCCCCCGTATTCTCCAGACCTGGCCCCCAGCGACTATTTCCTTTTTCCCCGACTGAAGCAGTGGCTCGCTGGTAAAAGATTTTACTCGAATGAGGAGGTCAAGTTGGAAACAAATGCCTATTTTGAGGGATTTGACACCGAGCACTATAAGACCGGCATCGAAATGTTAGCATCGAACCGTTACACTAAGTGCATTACTCTAAATGGAGATTATATCGAGGAATAAAACACTTTTTTCATTAAAAAAATCGTTTTTTCATTGTTAAACCAAAGACTTTTCAACCCATGTAGTAGAGGCAAAAGAGTGGAGGATAGAGGAGGTAGAGGAATTGAGGGAGGGGGAAGAAATGAGAGGGGAACAAATAATGGAGAGAGAGAGAGGAAGCAAAGGAAGAAAGGTGGAAGAAGATTGAGAAGTCAAGATATAATGGATGGTATAAGTGGATAAAGAGGGTGGGGGTGCCAGGGTATTTAAAGAAAGGTTAGGGAGAAAGTAGGTGGCAAAGAGTTGCAAGATATAGATTAGGAAATGGAATGAGAGGAGGAAAATACTGGGAGGGGGAGGAAGAAAGGAAGTGTAGGATATGTGGGGTAGAAAAGGAAGTATGGGAGCACGTGTGGGAATGTGCAGGGGGGGAAAGAAAGGACATGGCAGGAGATGGCGGGGGAGGTATTAGGGGCGGAGGGGGAGGGGGAGAAGTGGTTAAGGAGGCTGGACGTGGTGAGGGGGGAAGGGAAGAGTGAGTGGAAGGATGAGTGTGAGGAGGATGAAATTAGGGAAGATAAATTGTAAACGGGAACGGAAGTCCAGAATAGGAGAGGGAGTTGCGTAGAGTGTGTGTGTGTGTGTGTGTGTGTGTGTGTATAGGTAGGGAAAAGGATAGGAGAGGATAGAATTAAGTAGGATAAGGTAGAAAGCAAGAGAAATGTAAGAAAGTTGTAACCCTAAGGGGAATCAATAAATTAGTATATATATATATATTTTTTTTTTTATAGATCCACCTCCGAAGTTATGCGACACTACACACAAGAAATTAAAAACTGATAAAGAGCGGAGTTTATCCGGAAGAAAATCTTTGTGTGGCAAACAATCGAATGAGAAACAACCTTCTTGTGAAGTTTCACAAATTGTCGCCGAAAAAGTCTTTTTACGCCAAATCGTTTGGCGTACATGGCAATCAATTATCGTACAAGAAACAATCTTCATGTGAACAAAATTCACAAATTGCTATCGAAAAAAGCTCTATGCTAAATTCATTATGTGATAATTCGCAAACACAGGAAGTTAATCTACTACAAACGCGTGAGACCAATGATATTAATAATCGAGTAGTAACAGAATCAGACGAAATAAATGTACAAAGTAAGAGTTTAAAATTGTTTTATCCCCTCTCATTTCTTCCCCCTCCCTCAATTCCTCTACCTCCTCTATCCTCCACTCTTTTGCCTCTACTACATGGGCTGAAAAGTCTTTGGTTTAACAATGAAAAAACGATTTTTTTAATGAGAAAAGTATTTTATTCCTCGATATAATCTCCATTTAGAGTAATGCACTTAGTGTAACGGTTCGATGCTAACATTTCGATGCCGGTCTTATAGTGCTCGGTGTCAAGTCCCTCAAAATAGGGATTGGTAATAACTTTATTTTACATTTATCTCATTACTGTGTCATATATTTATATTATTAATAATAATATATTATATATATTTTTAATATATGATACTTTAACTTACTACACTCTGATCAAAAGCAATATAATCAAAGTAAATTCATACATTATTTCATACATTGTTTCAACTTATCCTGTTTTAGAAAAACTGATTCAAATTTGTGTGGAGACGTTAAAGTACGTACAAAGTATCGACAAAAGACTGAAAGTTTTGCAAAGAGGTATTAACATAGAAGAGTCTATGAATATATTCGATGACATACTTCCTATAAATTCCATACAGAATCTTAAAAGATTTCAGAAAAACTTAGATATGGTTGAAACAAAAGTCAATTTTGTAAGTTAATTATTAAATAATACTTTATTATTAAAAATATGTATTATAAAAGTAGTAGTAAATTTAATTATATAATTTATATGATTTATTATTTATTTAATTGTGTATTAATATGTTCATGGACTAATTATTAAATTGTACACCTTCAAGTAGAATTTATGAAAAAAATCGGAAGAAAAAGTGTTAAAAATTTGATGCAACGGTGTATCAGCCGCTTATTTATAAATAAATTCAATATAAACTGTTCTTGGTATGATCGTAGGAATAATCATCGCATGTGCGATTTGAAATGCATCCTAAAAGGTAAACTATTTTGACAAGTTGCATATTTTTATTTCTAACCCAAATTAGTAAGGATTTTATTTTTAATATTAACTCTACTCAATATTTTATTAGATGCGTTAAGAGCCAAAGGTATTGACGAATGCGACTTTGAAACTGCAGCAAGCGAATGATTCCGTCTTTGCAAACTACGATACGATCGAGAAAATAAAAAGATATTAGCTGATAATCATGATTCACACACGAAATAGAGACTACGTAGCTTTCACTGCATTTTCTACTTACATATACTGTTACGTAAAAATTAAAAATCTCAGTTTCTTGTTATTCAGATTATGTTTTTAAATTATATTGCAAAAGTTATAATATGTTTTAGTTCTGGACTTATGTCAGAATGCAATATAGTAAATACATATGTAACGATGTTATTAATTTAATTATACATATATATATATATATATACAGGGTGGGCCATTTTAATCCGTCCACGGGAATATCTCCTCAGGTAAGAGCGATAGCGAAAAATGCCTCAAACAAAAGTTATAGGATAAGTAGGGGAATACTTAGCGGTGACCTTGACTTTGACCTTGAGGTAAAAGGTCAAGTTCATTTTGAGGCCAAACTGATTTTTTTAAATAGAAACTCCTATTTCAGACTACGGAAATGGAAAGTACGGAAAATTTCACGTCCAAATAGGTAACCCATGACTGTGGCCAAAATGACCTTTAGGGGTTGTTTCAAGGACAAACGCGTAATATTAATCAATTCACTCAAGTAACTGGTAAGCTAAGTGAGATAGTGAAAAATGTTTCAGATAAATGTAGTATTTGGATGTGGACGTCAGGTCATGACCTTGAACTTAACTTTGAGGTAATTTCAAGGTCAAACTGAATTTTTAATTGAAATTAGTTAACAAGATTATCAATGAATTGACTCCTACTCTTAGCGTTACCCAGGAACAACGACGTGGACGTAGTAGGAGGTATATTCCTTTTGGGATGCTTGATTCGCGTGAGTCCCCTTGCCTCTCACGGTTCGGGATGCTTGATTCACGTGAGTCCCCTTGCCTCTCACTTTTCACGGAACATTTTAGAGCAGATTCTCAAAAACGTTCCCATCCTGAATGGTTATTTGATTGGTCCTTATTTTTTTGAGGAGAATGTCAACGGCAACAACTTTCTTGCTTTCCTTCGGAATGAATTTCCAGTTTTGTTGGAGGATGTCGATCTTGTTACAAGAACAAGAGTGTGGGTTCAGTTGGATGGTGGAGCTCCACCGCATAATTTTAATTATAAAAACCTGTTTTTACTTAGTTTTTCCTTTTTTCCTTTTTTATACCTTTTTTATACTTTTTCCATTTTTACTCATTTAACCCTTTTATTATGGTTGATTATCCGCCAGAGGAAAAAGTTGCCATGTTGTTAATTCTTGGTGAATGTCGAGGCAATTACCGTCAAGTAGCTACTCTTTATCGAGAACGATAGACAGAACGACGACATCCAAGTCACAACACGTAACTACAATCCAGTTCGCGCACATTTGAATGAGCGTTACCGTGAAAGATGGATTGGACCACGTGGACCTGTAGCATGGCCTGCAAGATCCGAAGACTTGATACCTCCAGACTTTTATTTATGGGGTTATTTAAAGGACATTGTTTTTACTAAAGAACCAACCACTAAGGATAACATGATGGAGAGAATCAGAGGTGCTTGCCAAAGTATTGTGCATGATGTACTTTTAAGTACTATTGACAATTTTCAAAGGAGGATCAGATTATGTATTAAGCAAAACGGGCACGTTTTTGAGAATTTGCTCTAAAATGTTCCATGAAAAGTGAAAGGCAAGGGGACTCACGCGAATCAAACATCCCGCACCGTGAGAGGCAAGGGGACTCACGTGAATCAAGCATCCCGAACCGTGAGAGGCAAGGGGACTCACGCGAATCAAGCACCCCAAAAGGAACATACCCTCTACTACGTCCACGTCGTTGTTCCTGGGTAACGCTAAAAGTAGGAGTCAAGTCATTGATAATCTTGTTAACTAATTTCAATTAAAAATTCAGTTTGACCTTGAAATTACCTCAAAGTTAAGTTCAAGGTCATGACCTGACGTCTACTTCCAAATACTACATTCGTCTGAAACATTTTTCACTATCTCACTTAGCTTACCAGTTACTTGAGTGAATTGATTAATATTACGCGTTTGTCCTTGAAACAACCCCTAAAGATCATTTTGACCACGGTCATGAGTTACCTATTTGGACATGAAATTTTCTGTACTTTCCATTTCCGTAGTCTGAAATAGGAGTTTCTATTTTAAAAAATCAGTTTGGCCTCAAAATGAACTTGACCTTTTACCTCAAGGTCAAAGTCAAGGTCACCGCTAAGTATCCCCCTACTTATCCTATAACTTTTGTCTGACGCATTTTTTACTATCGCCCCTACCTGAGGAGATATTCCCGTGGACGGATTAAAATGGCCCACCCTGTATAAATAAACGTTTCAGTTATATTTTTTATATTTTATATATAATTACTTTATAATAATTATTTTAATACAATATATTTAAGTATTGTAATAAATGAAATAGGAAGATTTAAATGTAATACTTTTAAATACTTTAAGATACATCTGCCCAACTGTAATATATATATGTACGTTTCTTCGCAAATAAAAATTAAATATGTTCCTCTCTATTTCTATTTTAATTCAATATGATATAAAAATTATTTGTTACACACAAGGATACCTTTATATGTGACAAATATTAATAACATTTTTAATTAAAATATAAATAAGCAGAAAATCTAAATATTAAATATTATACTACATATAAAAAATAAATATACAAAAGAACATCCGTGAAGTGTTCCGATTTCGACGAAACTTGGCATATTTGTAGAGTAACCAATAATAAGAGACTCATATTATTTTATTGACATAGCTCAAGCTTAAGGGATGAAATTGCCCTTCATAATTCCATCCTCTTTATATGCTATCTCGATAATTATTGCAAATATGAAAAAACTTTTTAAACAAAATTGTACAGCATGAAAAGTTATAAAACTTTGAGGGGCAGTTTCACCCCTTAAACCTGAGCCATTGTTGATGAAAAAAATATAGGTTTCTTATTTTTGGCCACTCTACAAATATGCAAAGTTTCGTCAAAATCGGAAACATACTTCGCGCATGTTCCTTGTTTGTTATATTACATGACATATAAAAATAAGTAATATATACTTTTATGTTACATTACATTATATGAGAAAATACATAACATGTATGTCTATGTTCCGTTACAGTAATATATTATTTGTAATATACCTGATATATAAATGATACATTCAAAGTTGCTGACATAAAGCCGTACCAAAATGTTACATTTACCTACACAAGTAATATTACATGTAATATTCATGACATTCGTGTAATGTAACATTTGCGTATATGTTATATACTGTGGTTTGCTGGGAATAAATATGTTAATGACTACGTTTCAAATTGCGAGTATAACACAGACACCTATAACACCGTTGGAAATTGAAGTCCATAATGAAATTCGGGACATGCTACAAAATTTTCAGAACATATGTTTGGCATCATTATTGGAATATGATTACGTACTTGATTTTGCTAATCCATTAGAGCCATATGAAATACAAATTATAGAATATATTACAGAAAGAGTAGATGATCACAGTTTTGAAGCTAAAGAATACATTGTTGATGAGGAAGGTGGGAGGATCGACTTTAATTATAAGAGAAAAGCTGTGGAGTTTTGGAAAAGCAAAATGAAGGCTCGTTGAACTTTAACTAGCGTACGGAGCAAGTTTCGTAAGGTTAAAAATTTACAGCAGGCACGCAAATGGGAAGAGAAGTATAGAAAGAGGTGGATCAAATATAGATAAATTAGAATTTATTACGGGATATGTATTGCAAAAGTTTGAAAAAGCTTGT